GCAGGAGAGCTGGCTTCTCCTCTCAGACATCTCAAAACCCCACGTGGACATGCAGTGTGATCCATGCGTATCAGGAGTGAAACCTCTCACTTAGGAAGGTTTTGTAAGTGAGTGAGAAAGATGCTGCAAGTATTTTATTACAGGCTGATGGGGTATTGTCGTTAACCTGCCAGGCGGGTGTTCAACATGGACACCTGAGTTTGTGACCACTTGAGAAGGAAGTGACAGGATTTTGAAACCATACTAACATCTAGTATGAATATCAGACAAGTTTGAATCTCAGTGATCTTGGCCTCAAGGTCAGGGGTCAGAGGTCAAGTTTTCTGAAAATCTTTTTGAGTGTGATAACCTAAGAACAAGGTGAGTTAGGATTGAGGGTCACCACTGGCCACTGCCTGTATTTTATTAATAGACTCTGTGAACAACTAATGACTTTGTATTTGTGTGTGGATTGAAGCACTTGTGAGTCCTCAAAAGTTACAGACAGATCACTGCACACATTTGTTTATGCCTCTGATCGTACCCTATGCATTTGTAACCCTTTTGAGACACATTTCTCTGTATGAAGTCACATCAAGCTGAGTCTTTTAGTCCCAGATATGACACTGAGGGGTGGAGCTGTCTGATGTTTAGTTTAGTACAAATGCTGAAAAGTTTGTGTGCTTTTACAGGGTTTCAGGAGGGAACTGCGAGCGAAAGAGCCCGTTATGACCAAGGCTCTGGATGATGTGGGAATCTTTCTGTCTGAACTTCCACACGACACACCGTCACCTGAGCACAGAGGTAACACATTTCACACAATTATGCTTAGAAGCTCTCCTCCACTGTTCTTCTATAGCTTAAAACTTCCCCCTTCAGCACTTCATGCTTGTTTTCATGTTATACTGACTGGATGAATTAAGAATGGAAGTGCTATAAGCAGTGTGATGTTCCCTCTAATGTTTTATGTGTCTGAGCGTCCCTCAGACCACTGTAAGCAGCAGCAGACGTGTGCACTGTGGTCACGCCAGCATCCAAGTTACATGTTTATTAAAGTAATCAAATTACAGCATTTATGTTAGACTACTTTTAATTTACTGCTTTAGCCCACTTACAATGAAAATTTTAAAAAAATCTTGTTCATGACCTGCAGCATGTTCACACTATTGGAGGTAAAAATAACTTTAACTCCAATTTTAAAAACACAACTTTATTTCTTTTATATAAAGCTCTGACTTGTATTCTGAGTCTGTGGTCTGGGAGAGAGTCTGTAACTCTGTCTGCAAATACAGTAAATAATGACCAATGTTGGGCAATTAATTATATAGTTACTTCTTCAAAAAAGTTACTGAGTTTTGCAAACAACAAAGTTTTTTGCAACTGTTTACCTAAAAACAAACATTTCAAACTATTTCCAGAACAATCAGCTGTTCTGCATCAAATCTGATGCCACACAAATTATTTGTGCCAAAAAATAATTTGTGTCACTATGAGATGAAGGAGAACAACAGCCTGATACCTGCAGGCCTGACAGCAGCAGATGTGTCACTGCTGTA